ACTCAACCAATCAAACAAACAACATACAAACTCTGATCTCAAGCCAGATTTGCATCCAGAAAAGCTGAAACCAAGTTAGATTCAGTCTTTTTAGTCATAATCCCCTTAGAAAAGCCATATTTTGCTTAGTTTAAAAGCTATGCTACCTTCCCTAGTATTGTAGTATCAATTTCCTCATGTAAAAACTATTTACCATCCATGTCTTTATATCACAACCCCTGTAAACTCAAAGAGAAGTGGTTGCAAAAGGTTCAACCTTGCCCTACAAGGTGAAATTTTGCCTGAGTCCCTTTGTTTGTCCTCTAAATTAGTAGATCTGTCACCTAAATGTATTTTTTAGCATGTCTACAACTTATTTCCAATTATTTCCTACTTAAGAGTCTCATTTGCATCCGAATCTAATGAACTCAATAGATCTTTGTTCACTAAGAGTAACATGGGATCAAAAGTGTGGTTTAAAGGGATCTAAACCCCTCCTTTCTAAACATACAAGATTATAAACTAAAAGTCCTTATTTACAAGGAAAGAAAAAGAACTTAATACTCTTATGTGACAATCCTTTAAACACTGGTGGTATGTGGTAGTTATTGTTGAACCTCCCATTGAACTCAGATCGTGGGAATCGGTTGTGGATAAAACTGCTCACTTATTCAAATCATGGGAAATTGAGACAGAACTGAAAACTAGATAGTATGAATTGTATGTTGTTTTCCTTCTCCTCTTTTAATAGTTAATATTAAACATGTGTCAATTGGCTTTTTTTATTATTTTACTTTTTTGTTTTTTGTTTTTATTTTACTTATTTTAGATATTATTAGTTTTTATTTTTGAAATCTAATAAGAGAGTAGCAATTTGAGTATTATGAAAGCTTCATCTTTTTTGTCTTCTCTCTATTGAACTTACTAACCACTCAACATGTTTTTTTTTTTTAATTTGTTTTTGATATCTAATAAGAGAAGGGCAATTTGGTGTTATGAAAGCTTCAATTTTTTTGTCTTCTTCGTTTATATCTATATAAGAGGACGAGAGTAGAGAGAGGAGAGAAGAGAGAGAGAGAGAGAGATTAAATCCTCCTCATCCCTTTTTTAATAATTATTTTTTTTAATAGACGATATTATCTACACTAGGAGAGGGGGTGAGCTTAGCCTTACAATGAGCTAGCAATAATGTGATTCAAATTTACCTTTGGTAAGAATTGGAACTGAGACTCACTTACAAGTGAAGAGGAATACTATTAGACCATAGTACTAAATGGCTTTTTATGATTTTTTTTTTAATATTAAATCCTTGTTTTGCACATTATTATTAAGTGAGGGTATTTTATAAATTTTTCCGAATTTTGACCATTTGGAGCTCTACAATTTATAAAATAAAATATTATATAATATCTATATATATATATATAGAGAGAGAGAGAGAGAGAGAGAGAGTTAGCCAAGCTGATTAGAGGAATAAAATAAACGTCTTTTGACCTCTCAATCAGTCCCTGAAGTCTTACCATTTATCAAAGAAAAAAAAAGGGTAAATTAAATTTTACCCCTCAGGTTTGGGGTCAATTTCAATTTCTTACAACATCTTTAGAATATTTCAATTTCATACATTTACTTATCATTTTATTTCAATTTCATACATCCGTTAGAAAATCTGTTAAGTTAACCGTTAAGTGATGATGTGGCAAATATAGAGTACCCATTTATGCTGACATGACCTCCACATGTGTGCCACATGGCTAAACACTTAATAAAAATTTTAAAACATTAAATAATTATAAATAAATAAATAAAACAGAAACCTAGACTTCGTCTTCCTCACTGAGGACCTCTCCATCCCTTCCACCCCCTCCACCCCCTTCGTCTTACCCACCCAAAGCACCCCTTCTCCAATCCCCCATCACCCACCCTTTGCCACCCAAGCCACCCCTTCTCTGATTCACTTCTCCCTCTTCACCTCCCCGACCCACCTTCTCCCTCTCCTCCACTCTCTTCACCTTCCTTTCCTTCTCTCTCCCCAGATCAACCTTTTCCTTCCCTCCTACACTCCTGTAGACATCGAAATTTCGGTGAAACAAATGTTCACCAATGAATTAAAGTTTTGACGTGTCAAGGCATACATGGCATACGCCACGTGTTGTACAAATTGTACACATGGCGTGTGACTCAACAAAATAGGAAGAAATACCCTTGAAGGATTAAACAAGTTTTTCTTCTCATTTTTGGGCAATGACAAGGCAAGCACATTTCAATCCATTGAGGATCAAAACAAGTTTTTCTTCTCATGTTGGGCAATGACAAGGCAAGCACACTTCAATCCATTACGGATCAAAGCAAGTTTTTCTCATTTGGGCAATGACAAAGCATACACATTTCAAGTTTAAAATGGTGTTAAGTGGGAAATTAGGCCATAAGTTACACCACTTCAAGTTTAAAATGGTATTAAGTGGGAAATTAGGCCATAAGTTACACCACTTCAAGTTTAAAATGGTATTAAGTGGGAAATTAGGCCATAAGTTACACCACTTCAATTTCAATATTGCATTAAGTGGGAAAATTAGGCAATGGTGCTTGGAAAGGAAAAAAATATTTTTGTGGTGGTGATTCATTCTCAAAGCCTATAAATAGGTTTCTCCATCAAGGTATCAAGCATCAAGGAATTCACAAATACATTTCTCTACTCCAAAATTAGAAGAGGAATTCCCCAAATCCTTGAAGCTTTGAAACTCCAAAGCTTCCAACCATCCAAATTCCCAAGAATTCCGAAGGATCAAGAAAGCTCTCTTCGTTCTTCGTTAAATCCTCTTTCAAGATCAAGCCCCGACGGCCCTTGAAGAAAGTGTTCATCCGTTCATCCTAAGCATAAGCCCCCAACGGCCCTTTGGATCAACAACCTCAACAAATCCACACATCCAATCGTTCTTCAAGATTAAGCCCAAAAACCCTTGAAGATCCGCTCATCCATCAACCTTCAAGATCAAGCCCCAACGGCCCTTGAAGAACTCCCACCATTATTCAAGATCAAGCCCCAACGGCCCTTGAAGAAAGCGTTCATCATTCATCATCCGTTCATCCTAAGATCAAGCCCCAACGGCCCTTTGGATCAACAACCTCAACAAACCCATACACCCATTCTTCAAGATCAAGCCCAAAAGCCCTTGAAGAAAACCAACCCATTCTTCAAGATCAAGCCCAAAAGCCCTTGAAGAAAACCAACTGTTCATTCAAGATCAAGCGTCGACGGCCCTTGAAGAAAACCAACCGTTCTTCAAGATCAAGCCCAAAAGCCCTTGAAGATCCGCTCATCCATCAACATTCAAGATTAAGCGTCAACGGCCCTTGAAGAAAACCAACCGTTCTTCAAGATCAAGCCCAAAAGCCCTTGAAGATCCGCTCATCCATCAACATTCAAGATCAAGCCCCGAAGGCCCTTGAAGAAACTTCCATCAACCTTCAAGATCAAAGCCACGAAGGCCCTTGAAGAAACTTACAACTGTTCATCCAAGATCAAGCCTCGACGGCCCTTGGATCAACAAATCTACATCTTACGGAGATAGAATCAGAGGATCAAATTACAAAGAGATCGTAACCCCAAAATCATTAAACACAAAAATATTATTTTGTACACGTTATTTCTTGTTTCTTGTTTCAAGGAACTTTCGTGTTCACAACTCCCTTCTCTGCTCCACAATTTGCAACTGAGATGGCATCGTTGGCGCAGCTCCGGCTCATGTTCGATCTCAAAACCATCATCAACGAGCCCCCCGAGGTAAATTCCGATCAAGTTTACCTCAAATTCCTATCAAATCCGATGGCGATGGAAGTTCTTCATTATTCCCGTCGCCAAGAAGGTGAAGATGAAGGTGAGAAGGGAGAGATTGTTGCAGGCCATGGCGACCCGGCTAGACGGAGGCGATGGACTTGGTCTGGGCCTTCTAGGCCCGGGAGTGGTGGCGGGAGGTGAGGTAAAGGGAGAGGAGGAAGAGGGTGATTAGAGAGAGAGAGAGGGAGTGTGTCTGATTTGGGGGGTGGGGAAGATGAAGGGGGAATGGGATTTCTAGGTTTCTTTTGTTTTTTTTTTTTTTTAATTATTTTAATATTTTAAATTTTTTTTTATTAAGTTTTAGCCACATGGCACAAATGTGTCAGCCACGTCAGCACAAATGGGAATCTCATATTTGTCACGTCATCACTTAACGGTTAACTTAACAGATTTTCTAACGAATGTATAAAATTGAAATAAAATGATAAGTAAATGTATGAAATTGAAATGTTTTAAAGATATATAAAATTGAAATTGATCCTAAACTTGAGAAAGTAAAATGTAATTTACCCCAAAAAAAAAAAATGTAAACTTCATATTGGGTTATTTCAAGTGCCCCAATTTGCATGGAACAACTGACTGGCCGAGTAGTTAGGTCATGGAAATAGTTAGCTTCTATGTTGAAGGGTTTGGATGGATCATATGGATCATGTTGTATATAATCTGCTTCCTCTTTATACTTCCCCTTTATATAAAATGAATTTCTCCCTTATTCCTTTGTAACAATTTCTATTTATCAAGATGAACCGCTTTGCTGGAACCCTAATTATCCTCTCCATCCTCCTCTTTTCTTTTCAGGGTAAGCGTGCACTATTCCCATAGGAATTTATATTCAATAATGTTATAACATATTCAGCAGAGTTTTCAATCATTAGATTCTGATTTTGATTTTTGAAATTAAGGATATAACAGTAAAAAAATCCGGAGCACCATAGCAAATCCTAGATTATTGCTCAATAATGCAAAATTTTTAAAAGTGTGGAGATGGGGCGTTGGCGATGAAATCGCCGCCGCCGCCACCTGGGGTGGGCTGTTGTTGGTCCGGCGGGTGCTTGGTGTGGAGGGTACAATAATATGGCGTGTCACAAAATTCTGATGGGGATACATGTGGCAATTTTTTAAAATTAAAAAAAATATATATAATAAAGAGCTGTCAAGTTTCTATTTGTTTAGAAGGATGCGCGCGGGCAACATAGAGATGTTCTATTTTTCAATTTACTTTTTGTACAATTGTCCAATTTTCCACAGGTAAAAGCCACATAGTTAAGCCATGGCATCTTTGCAAGAGCAAGGAAGTTTCCAACCCTCCCACTTTGTGCAAGCTACCGGACTGTAGCCAGTCGTGTGCAAAGTCGCACCCCGGAGCCGGAGGCTTTGGATTCTGCATTGCTGAATTTTGCCTCTGTATGCATACCTGCCACGGAGACCGCCAAGCTCCCACCGATGCAGAGGCAGAGCAACTTCCCAGCCTGCCCTCTCTTTCCTATAAACCTATTACGCCGTGATCCCGTTCACCAATTAATGAAACTCGTGTAATGTAGCTCCAACATAAACAAAAAGAAATAGGTTACTGTATCAATAAGTCTTCTCATGCTAAACGATATGATAAGGAAGTTTCTTAATTTCTTTCCTCCTTAACCTTTCTGTATTTTTGGTATTTCTTTCCTCCTCATCCCAACAAACAATCGAGACTAGATGCTGCCAACAAGCATCAAAGATGATAAAATCCGTACAAGACTACATACAACACAACGCAACTAAGCCGAAATAACAGCCACATTACTCAGAGACCCGCGGTACACAATCAGAAAACTAGTAAAGGAAAAAATATACCTTTGGATAGCATATCTTACTTGTTTTCTCAATGCAGCATAAGAGAGTTAAAGAATGCAGAAATAGAATATCCAAAACTTTAGGTACATCATGGTAATCCAGAACATAGAAAGTTTGTCTTACACTGTCGCCTTTTCACGCTTCAAGCTGAGCTGACACCTCATTCTCCAGACAAGGCGTAAATGAATTTTTCAGATCTGTCTGGGCAGTGGGCACAAAACCACCACCTGGGAAGATGAAAATTTGGATTGTACTAAGAATCTTCTTCGTCAGTAGAATCAAGCAGATGAGTCTTGTAAATAACCAACAATTCTCTGCATCACCTCTAAATCTTGATATAAACTTGTCAAAAAATTCATCCTCCGGCAAAATAAGTGCATCATAAAAAGTTGGATCTCTCTTCAATAACTGTTTTGACTTTATAACCTCTAAAACCCCATATCGAGCACTCACTCGGTTCTCCATGCTATACATCAAAATCCAAGGTGTATGAATTAATACCGACTTTTTGAACTTAATCGTATTCAAGAAGAAATCAATTCCAAACTTTAACTTCTCCTCTGAGGTCCTAAGCAAACCTGGTGTTCTTCTAAACATTTCCATGCATTCATCCTTTGAGAAGCCAAAATCACAAAGCAAGTCCAATTTTCTACTAATTGTCCCATTTCACATACAGCTAACAGTATACAGAGCATGAACAAACATCCCAGAATTCAACGAGAAACCCATTTCCACTACCCGCGCAACAAGGCATCTAAGTACAGATTCTTGAACAATGAAAAGCCATGGCTGCCTCTTCAACAGCATGGAAAGCTGAGAACCAACAATTCCACAACTCTCCATATAGGCACTATTTCTTAACAATCTCGATTCTGGGTCCTTTGCAACTACCCAATTGCATATGCATAAAACCCGAATCAAATTTTAACCATTCTCATCAATCCCCAAGATTTTCTTTAGAATTTCAATGCAGGGTACTAACTTTCTGTCCAAACTAATAGTCAAAAGTGTGAAATTCTTGGAAATGAACCTAGGAAGATGAGAACCAAAAAGACCCAATTGTTGGAGGAACTCGAGCTTAGGACTCAAGGTTTTGTCAATATTAGAAAACAAAAACTGGGGCGAGACACGCACAGCGGATTGGACATGGGTATCAGAGAATCCAAGTTATCGAAGAAAGCTATGCACAGATTGGGGCTTTTCAGGGGATATGACCCATGAGAATCGAATTGAGATTGAGGAGGCTTGGGTTTTGGTGAATTCGAAGGTATTGACATGGTAATCGGCGATGTGAGAGTTTCCGTTTGGATTTGGAATTCTGGTGGGTGAAGATAGAGATGAGAAAAGCGAGATGGAAAGTTGGGCTGCACTGCAGGGAAGGTACTGGAAATACAGAGGCGAGCGAGAGAACACAAGTGGTTTCAAAGCTTGCATTTGCATCTATAGCCATATGCATGCAAGTACATCCAATTCCAATACCCACTCCATATTTTTCAATGACTCCCTCTGAAACACTACAAGTACAACACCATTGCCGATTTCTCGTAACAACACACAACTTACTGAAATGACAAATCAATTTAATCAAACTCAATGACCCAGATAGACTTGTTCAACAATTATTAATCCAAATAAAATAAAGTTGTAATCTTTTATATAATATTCATCAATTGGATTATCAGAAGAATCAGAGAAAATGGAAAGAGAGAGGTGAATAAATTTAGGGATTCTTACATGAAACACAAATCGGAGGAGGAGAGATGCGGCTGGAGGTTGCTGTGGTGAATTTGGACTCAGTCTGGGAACGGAACCGAGAAGATTCAGATTTGAGATATGAGTGGGTTTCGTCATATCAGACGGATGAAGAAGAAGAAGAAGATGAACCAGACATAAAAAAGAAAACAAAAAAAAAAAAAAGTTGTAAACCAAATAAAGTCAGCGTTAACGATTGGAATATTATTAGGAATTTTAATAAAAACTTAACTACCGTTCATTTTAACGAAAAATTATATTTTTATACTAAAAGTCAATTTTGGTATTATTAATTTTAACTTTTATTTTGTCGTTATTGTTAAATTCAAATCTTTTTCATTAGGTTTTATTTATTATTAAGTATTGATTAACGCGTGTTTATTTTTAATTGGTGACACATCCTTTGATTTGCAAATTTGGTTTACAAAATTTAGTTTAAAATTGAAATTGATCTATGAGTTTGTCCACCGTTAATTATTTTGGTTATTTTGTGAAAAAATCTATGTTACATAAAGACCAAAATGACAAATATACTCTTAATTTAATAAACAATGAGATAAAATAATTTGACAAAAAGTAAAGTTATTTAGTCATTTTCTCCTTATTTAATGTTGGTTTTTCACAAAATGTCCAAAGTGATTATTGGTAGACAAACTCAGAGATTAGTTCTATCAATTTTAAACTCAAAGTGAAAATTATCCTAATTTTTAAGATCATTTGGCTAAAAAGTTAAAAAAATATACGGAGAAACAAGAAAGAGAAGAGAGCGATTATAAATATATAAAAAATAAAATATTAGAGTGCTGATAAGCTCAGCCAAGCATTCACTCATGCCAAGACCTCACTTCCCTTTTTAATTTCAGTTAGAATTCCAAAGTCAACCACTTTCCAACTCTCCAACCGATTGCAACTTTCCTTCCATCTCTCCAAGCCCTTAACTCAAGCCCCTCACCTCCTCTTTCCAAATTCCAGGACTAAATCTCATGCCGCGTTTTCAAAATTTATCCTCACCATTCTCGCATCTGCGACAACCCATTCCCCCACTTCCAAACAACCCCAATTCCTTTTTCTCATCACCCTTTTTGTTTTTCAAATTTTTAAATAATTATTTCATTAGTAAAATGTTTTGAACAACTACTGTCAATTTTTGCTTTTGGTCTCCCATTTTTTTTTTAATTTTTAATAATTATTTCATTAGTAAAATGTTTTGACCAACTATTATATATGATTCAACTCTAAGAACAAAAAATGAAGAAATTTGAAGTTCCACCATAAAACTAATTGGCAACTTGGGAAAAATCAACTTCTTATAAGCTTCTTTCACCTATGTGAGACTCTTTGCCTTCACATCTTGACAAAAGAAAATATTTATTTGAAGGAATTGAGATAGTTGCAAAGAGATATTGAATAGAGAAAAGCCTTTTTTTTTTTTTTTTTGAGTAAATTACACAAAACTATCTCAACTGCAGGTCGAACCACAATCTCATACCTCATGTTTTCAACATTGCAATGTCATACCTCAACTTATGAATTCGTTGCAATGTCAAACCTTTGTTAAATATTCTGTCAATTTTACTATTAAGTGATGACGTGGCAGGCACAGGGTCTACTCATCACCTAATTGACTTTAAAAATTAATTAAATATTAATTTTTTGCTCTCTCCCTCCTCACGTTTCTCTCCGTCTTCTCTTCTTCGTCTACTCTGCTGTCATGTCCGACAAGGCCGACATGGACGTCCAGACCTTCTACGACAGCATCCTCGCCGCCATCTTCATCGAGGAAGACGAGATCGTAGTAGGCACCGGCCCATGTGGCCAAATTATGCCTGCTGATGTGGAGGTAGCTGTCGGAATTGTCAAGCATACGAGACTCAACAAAGCCGATCCCACTCCGGTAACCGCTGCTCCACCCAAGTTTTCTGTTGCAGCCTCGCGTCTAATTCCTCTCTTAACCGTGGTGCCACTTACCACGACGCAGGTTGCTGTTTTGAAGAACATGGTGGAAAGTCTTTCGATGCCGACTTTCCTAGTCAAGTATCCTATGAACAGTGACGCCATCTATGATATGGTAAATTGCGGATAGTGTATAGACCAATTGAATTGTTAGTTTGCTACCAATTTATTAATAAATTGTTAAATAAAAAATATAACAATTGTTAAATAAAAAAATGGGTAAATATCAGTTTACTACCTTTAAGTTTCGTGGTTTTCAACATTTGGAACATCAAATTTTTTCCGTCCCAGAGTCATACCTAAGTGTTAATTTTGAGACAATCTTATACATCCGTTAGTCAAACTGTTAAATCTTCCATTAACTAATGATGTGGCGCTCATGTGGACAATGACTGGGCGCCACATGTCATTAAAAAAATTACAAAAATTAAACTATTAAAATAATTAATTAAATAAAAGTTAAAAAAAAAAAAAAAAAAACAATCCTTCTACCTCCCTCAACCCCCTCCCTCCCTTCTTTCCTGTACAACCCATACCCTCCCTTCTCTCCCACTCCGACCTCCTCGCCCAGCTCTCTTCCTTCCACCACTCTGATCACGCCCTCTCCACCATCCGATCCTCCGTTGCCGCCCTCCAGTCCTCCATTTGCCACACCTGATCTGAGATCTCCGACCCCTTCGCCTCCTTTGCAGGGTTCGTAGCTTCAATTTGCAGAAACTCTTCCCATCACCGACCCCACTCACTCTGCAACCTTCAACCCAAAATCACAGCAAGTTTCAAGCACTATTGCTAAGCAGCAAGATTTGGATAACAATTCATCCAAAATGCTCCAAAATCCAAGTGTGTTCAGGCAGATACTATCAAACCAAAAAACAAAAACAATAGAGGATTGAATATAAAATTGTTTGAACTAAGTTCCAAAAAAAAAAAAAAACATTCAGATTTGAAAATTGTGATTTTTTCTGCTGATTGAGAAGTGGAATAATATATATGTGCAACAACGATACCTGGTTAGGGTTTGATAACCGCCATTGGAGATGCCTCTGGGAGCTTTGCGAGAGAGATAGAGAGCCATAGAGAGAGAGAGAGAGAGAGAGAGAAGCCGTATATTTCTAGATCAAGGATGGAGCCGACGAGGTCTCCGGCGAAGGGAGAAAAGTGCTCGGACGACGGTGGGGATGGGTCTTCCTTTCTCCATGTTTGTGGGATTAGGAATGGAGTGGATCTACAAAGGAGGGGATGGGGGTGGATCCACAAAGGAGGGGATGTGTTTAGAATGGTGGTCGGATGAGGGGTTTGTAGGATGAGATTGACGGAAATAGGTTTGGACACGGGGCCTGGGAAGAAGCAAGCAAGCACAGAAGAAGGGAGGTAGAAGGGAAGGAGAATGGAGGGGGGGTCGGGGTGGGGAAGACAAACGTGTTCTTGGTTTTTTTTTTTTTTTTTTTCTTTTTTACTTTTATTTAATTAATTATTTTAATAGTTTAATATTTTTATTTTTTTTAATGACACGTGGCACCCAGTCATTGTCCACATGGCGTGACGTCACAAGTTAACGGTAGACTTAACAGTTGGACTAACGGATGTATGAGACTGTCCCAAAATTTACACTTTAGGTATGACTCTGGGACGAAAAAAACTTGATGTACTAAATATTGAAAACCACGAAACTTCAGGATGGTAAACAGTCTTTTGCCCATAAAAAATTAATAATTTATTAATTTTTAAATTCAGTTAGGTGAGGACTGGACCCCGCCCATGTCACGTCATCACTTAACAACGAAATTGACAGAATATTTAACGGAGATTTGATATTGCAACGAATTCATACGTTGAGGTATGACATTGTAATGTTTAAAACATGAGGTATGAGATTATGGTTCGACCCATAATTGAGGTAGCTTTGTGTAATTTACCCTTTCTTTTTCTTTTTAGCTTTGGTCCTTAGATGTTATTTACGTTTAATACTGGCGTCAAATTTTTTATTGAAAAGTGGGTCAGGAGATAAGGCAGTGGGATGAGTTTATCAGCATTCATAAATTATTAAATCATTTCCATCATATCATTTTTAGTCATTTAACATAATCACATCAGTTTATATAAAATGATACCAAACACTCGTACACTTAATTTTGTTGCTAAGAGCACTTTTACAAAAACAAAAACAAAATAAAATTTAACAAACACTCCACTGCTTTATTTTATAGTTGTTTATTCTCACAGTATAGAAGCAACTTTTTTTATAAAGCACAACAATACCAAACTAGCCCTCAATCTATGGTGGAGCTAGGCTTGAAACAAAACCACTTGACATTTCTTGCCATTCTTCAAGCTTGCACTCATGTAGGTCTTCTTTAGAAAGTATTGAAGCTCTTTCACAGATGAGAAAATTTTGCAAATTAAATTTGGGTAGACCATTATTTTCTATAATGCATAAACACAGACACAAACACATGAATACTACATAAAAAGACACAAATATGTCAAATTTCTAAAAACGAAGACATGATACGACATGGACACAACAATTAAAAATAAACTCCAAGTTCCAATTGATTTTAATAAACTCCAAACATTTAAAAGGATAATTCATCAAACATCCAAATTAGTCTCCAAACTTGGAAACCTAGAAAGAGCAATCCATACCTCATAATATTTTATTATTTTTCTCACCCACAATTTTCCTCACCGACTGCCCCTTTTTATTTTTCCTTCCATGGAAAATTGGTCAAGCATTTGATATTAGAGATTGCATATTTATATCACATTCAAATTTTATGAAAGAAGAAAGGCAAAGTTTTAATGAGCATGAGTTACTAGTAAATGGCATGGGAAATGAAGATAGATTAAGAGAACATATAGTTTCCTAATTCTTAAGTATGGAGAATGATATATTGATAGTACTAAAGCACAATATAAGGGAATTGTGGGGTGTAACTCGCTTATCTTTGTGAAATAGATGTATACAAGTAATTTTCTTTTAGAAGAGAAATATTATCTCTTAAAATAGTGTTTTTAAGGTATTGAAAGGTTGGAGACCTCTTGGAAAATAACTTAAATGTGGGGAGTTTGCCCCCAAGTGTTAGCAAATTACTTAGTAGTCAACCTAGTGGCACCAATTATAAAAGACTGATTAGAGAGTAAGTTTTATCATTGAGGGAAAAGAGGCTAAACATAACTAATGAATCAACCGGACAGAACCTAACTTGGTTGATTGGAGATCCCATTGTCTAAATTCAATAGGCAAACTAGTGAGGCATGATTCAAAGAAATTAACACATTATACACCTCATTCTTATGGTGGGAGAAATGTGTTGTCTACAGAAGATTTAGGGTGTATATACTTAATGAAACTAACATCTTATTATAAATAAGAGGAATATTGCAGAGTAATCTTAATCAGTGGTCACCTATATGAGAGTAGAAGTGGGGTCACTTTTATGAGAATAAGATGGCTAAATTATCTAAAGCTCTCATGAATTCGGGATTTGTTCAGGACCAAATGAATACAACCATATGAACCACAATATATCAGGATAAGAGATGTGTGTTACTTATTGTCTTGGTTTACTATATATGGTGAACAATTCAATGTCTCCTATACACACTGCGTCATCGGTGAATTCGATAAGTGTTCACTAGGGTAGCTTCAAGTCCAAAAAACATCTCTTCCGAATTCTTCCTAATGTTTCATTGATGTGGGGATTGTTGGAATTTAAATATTATAATATTGTTCGGGGACTTTTAGGTCGAGGTGGACTTGGGCTTTGAGAACGTCTTCTTGTCTTTCTTGGTTCGGATTCGTACCAAGTCCTGAAATATCTCGAAAGAGTTAGCTTGTCTTAGGAAATACCACAGTAATATCAATGACTCGAAGATAGCATGATTGATCAAGATAATGACTTGCTCAAGTGAAGTGTGGTGTGAAAGCTAGAAGATTACTGGTTTAACATGAGAGAGAAGGGGTTTGCATGATTGCATGGCATTCTTGGTTGGATAATTTAGGCTTTCCTAGGGTGATAATAAGGTTTCTAATGGCTGGGATCCTTAATGGAAGACTGTGGGAATTACTAAGGTAGCATGAACGATGATTCTTAAGGTTTGAAGGATGTTTTTAGGCTAAATGGAGCTCACTAAGTTTACTTCATGCTTGAAGTTTCTTGGTTCTCCCTCTCTTCATTCTCTCTGTCTTCTGCATAATGGTTTTCTCCCTCCTTTTATAAATGAAGGGTTCTTCACTAGGCTTCAAAGGAATCTCCCTTTGTGGCTTGGTCTTCCTCTTCCTTTCTCCCTAGCCCTCCTACTATTTCCCTTTTGGTGTAAGGTAGTTGCACTATTGAAACCTGCATTATGCGTCTTCTAGAGGCGCAGCTTTCCCAGGCCAATGCAAGCGCTACTTCTAGTAGCGTGCCTCATGGCTTTTCGCGCATTGGTTGTCTATGCAATGTAACAACCCGTTCCCAATTTTACAGTTTTTATAATTTTAATAAGTGAATTTACAAAAATGCCCTTCAAGGCACATGCATTGACTTTCGTTGAATGCCGTGTCGTGTCACTTAAAACTCGTTTTCTTGGTGTATCCTCGTAGTACTCATCACTTCAAACGCGTGGGCACAAACAGAATGTAATTTGAAGTTATAACGAAGATTCTACAAACCTTTAAACGTCGAGGGCATTTTAGTAATTTTCCATTTGAAACACATGTTGTATTTGCAGTAGTGTGACACATGGGACCCATAGATTGGTCCCCAAAATATTTGGAACCTTCTTTCATTCCTCTTCTTTCCCACAACTCTTCACTCTCTCTAACTCTCTAACTTTCTCTCAACTCTTCCTTTCTCCCGTGAAACAAACCACCATCATCACCAAATCTTTCGACTTGTTGAACATCAAAACCACCATTATCTGCATGTCTTCACGCCTAGAAGTCTCGGCCCAAAACCTTGTTCTTTGAACTTGTGTTTCAGGTTCGTTTTCAATGAAACAAAACTCAAAATTGGGTTTATGGTGGTGAAGACATGCAAATAATGGTGGTTTTGATGTTCAACAAGGCGAAAGATTTGGTGATGATGGTGGTTTGTTTCATGGGAGAAAAGAAGAGCCAAGAGAGAGTTAGAGAGTTAGAGAGAGTGAAGAGTTGCGGGAAAGAAGAGGAAGGAGAGAAGGTTCCAGATATTTTGGGGACCAATCTGTGGGTCCCATATGTCACACTACTCCATATACAACATGTGTTTCAAATGTAAAATTACCAAAATGCCCCCGACGTTTAAAGGTTGGTTGAATCTTTGTTATAACTCCAAATTACATTATATTTGCTCCAACGCGTCCGTAGCGACGAGTACTGCGAGAATACACTAAGAAAACGAGTCTTACATGACACAACACGGCATTCAACGAAAGTCAACGCATTTGCCTCGAAGGGCATTTTTGTAAATTCACTTATTAAAATTATAAAAACCGTAAAATTAGGAACAAGTCGTTACATGCAAGCTAGGAAGGGAAAGTCAGCATTAAATGCCTCACTTGCTAGGTTTAACATACATTTAATGCAGGAATCCAGTTTAGTCCTAACTAAGAGGGTTAGCTTGCTAAGGAAAGAGGTAAACTAGGCTAGTTCTCTCCCAATGTTTGCCTGTGTGAAATGCAAAGGGTATGAGCTTCCATAACCCCGATTTTGAGTAGCCCCATAACCTTCCATAACCATCCACACCATAATTCACTTGACAAGCCCCAAGCATGTGACTTGGGCTTAGCATGAATAGTGACTAGCGTGAGGAAGCTTGGCATGATGAATAGGCATGAGCATGGCGTGATTTGTGTAGATATCCGACTTCATTACCATGGTGTGGCATGTTTGTAAATATATTTCCTTATCGATCCGCAGCTTGGCATGTGTTTGGGCTTGAATGAAGGCTTGCATGACGAAGACTTGGTTGAATTGGTGTGTGACATTTCTGGGCCTCAACAAATATTAGTAATTATAAAATTTAATTCAATATTTGAATGAAAAGTTCTTAACCGTTAGTATCAAACAGTATATATTATTCAAATGGTGCCATCTTATAAAAAAGGCACTACATTGCGTATTGTCGTCAATCAGTGTCCTAGATCCTATATAAACCCATGAAACTATTATTGTTGAAAGTTGAAATTTTGAGTTAATTATTACTCCTGAGAAATAGGGTTTCCCTACTCAATTTCTCTCATCCTTCATTGTTCAATTATGAGTCGTGTTATGAAAGTACGGAATATATTAGGTGAGCCAGAGTCTAAAGATTGCAGTGCTTTGACTTCAGATTATATATTGTTAAATCCTGGGAGATGGACACTTACCAAACTAAAAGCACACAAGTAGGAGCAAAATTCTACCTTTAGGATATTGCATTTATGCAAGCCTCATTCTCTAAGTTTGTCAGTCTTTCTTACTTTCTCTCTACATTGTTTATATTGTTTTTACACAATTGATATTGTGATTTTTTTTATGATTATTATCATCGAAATTCTTTTATTATTTTCGTATTTTCTAATATTGCTCCAACAAATTAGAGTATTACTAAGCATTTCTTGTAACCTTTATTCAATATTTATGAGTACTACAATGGATGTAGCCCAGTCTTTAGAGATAGACCCCTCAATCTTTGTTGTCTAGTTCTTATAGATTTTATCCCAACTCCACCAAAGGTCAACCATACCGATCTTTGTTGACTTCCCAGTTAAGAACGTTGACAGTGGTATATCCTCATACGTGAAAAGGAGGTGTGGACACGTGTGATTGCTTTCCAATTCCATAAATTCAAAGGATTGTGAAGATTGACATGGTGAGCAGCACAATTCAAATAGGTTTGGGATTCTTTATAACATATACGGACATGCGTATGGGTTGATGTTGCGTGAAAGCAAGATGGCGTTTGAAAATTTATGCAAATATATCTGCTTAACTGGTTAACATTAGTCAAGAAAGAGAATGCAACGTTACCATGATAAAGCCGGCAGATATATCCTCCAATAAAGTTGCGTCAATACAAACATACAGAGAGGTCTAGGGTTAAATACAAAGCACCACGCAACATAAAAAGGACATTAACTCAACACACAAATCAACTCTACACGAAAATCTCTCACTTTTGAGAAAAACACTAATTGCTCTACTAACACGTCAACATATATTCAGTTGCCAAATTTGTGAAAATTCAATTTGGTTAAATATAAATGGAGTCGTAGAATCAATTCGGTCAAGAAGTTTCTTCAGTTTGGTTAAACAACACTTACCCTTCTTTCGACTGGTCACATATCCAAGTCTCTACCGGCGAGGAGTCTTTGATTCTCTTGCTAAATGAGGTCACTTTATTAGCTTTCCCGGCAAAGTGAGGTGTTACCCGTGTTAGTCACTATATATTGAAAGCCGAACCATTATTGAACTTCACAGCAAAAGATATAACCTTGTATTTAGGTTAGTAGAACCCTATATCCAAGTCTCTGCCGGCGAGGAGTCTTTGATTCTCCTGCTAAATGAGGTCACTTTATTAGCTTGCTTGGCAAAGTGAGGTGTTACCCGTGTTAGTGTACTGTACATTGAAAGCCGAACCATTATTGAACTTCATAGAAAAAGATATAACCTTGTATTTAGGTTAGTAGAACCCTCAACCATAGTCGCTCAGTGCAGAAGTCAACATTGCATTTCACCAGTACATCACATCCATATATTCGCCCAACCGAGCTCGGTTACGAATTAGCACGCCCGCATCAACAATCAACCACAAAAGAACATAGTAGCTCAATGGTCACCAAGTAGACTTTGTAATTCTTAGGTCCAACAATAACAAAACCAAAAGTTAATAGAGGAAAGGAAAAAATGAGAAAAAAAGTGAAGGGGAATATGACAACACAAAAGAATTTGTCAATTAAATATCAAAATCAAAACACGATCAAGTGATAAATGGATAGGTTAAATATCCCTTTACAAGAAAAATTTCACAGGAAAAAATGTGACAATTAATAATAGCCCAAAGTCAAAAGGCTAGAAACCAATTAAGGAGGAAAAAATAATAAAGGGGTGAAAAAAATAAAAAACCGAAAACAAAAGGGGTCAAGGAACACAAAAAAAAAAAAAAGGCTAATTCCAAGACGCATGTACAAAAACTTCAACTGGATATAGAATTGACATCCTCAAAGACTTGTCTGATGTTAGGCCTCTCATTTACAGGTAGAATACACCTGAGCGATATTGCTAGCAATTCATCCATTGCTTTTGAGGGTTCTTCCCCACCAGCAATGTCTCTGTCAATGCAATCCATTCCTCGTCCTTCTCGATCACAAAGCCGAACCCAGTCTGTGAGGTCAACCGCCCCCGACTGTCCCGATATAATGTCTCCTGCGCTTCTTCTGGTTAACAATTCCATCAAAATCACCCCAAAAGCATACACATCAGCTTTGAAAGAAGGGACTGGTTTGGTTGCGGTGACAAGCTCTGGAGCACGGTATCCAAGTGCTCCCATAGTTAAAATCTGTTCCGCGATACCAGCTGGTGTCATCAGACGGTGAAGACTATAATCAGTTAGGTGAGCACTGTAATCAGGACCTGCCAGTAGCACATTACTTGGCTTTAGGTTCCCGTGGGGCAGGCCTCTATCGTGTAGGTAAAGCAAACACTGAGCGACCTCCACAGCAACCTTTAGCCTCTGCTTGAACGATAATCGAGAGTACCTTCGAGGTGTGGTCTCTGCATAATACAGATGCATACTTAGAAAATAAGAGAAAAATTAAAATCCAAGATTTAAGACATTAATATCTATGAAACCCTGAATACTGGCACAACATAGAAAATAACAATTACTGCTCGCCAATATTTAGACACGCTCAGACAATTCGGAACAAAGGAAACAAGCTTTATCCAGAAGTCCACTCTCGTGAACATCAATCTGAGACAGAACAAATCGAATCTAAAATAAAGGGCAACAAATAAACACTAAACTTGTCTTCGAAGGCCTCAGTTCATTAAAAAGATTCTTGTTCCTTTATATGTACGTATAATTATAAATTTAATGTGCGTATATTATCATTTTAATGTACGTATTATTATCTTTCCATTTCCAAATAAATATACAAGAAATCAATTAACAATCAAGCCACCCAAGCACTTCAAAAGTTGAAAACAGATGACAATTATAAAACTCTCATGTTGAAACAAATTTCAGAAACCACCCCACCAATCTTATATCCGGAGCAGAAAAATCATAAGCGCACTTATAATACCAATTTCCTTTTTTTTTTCACTTCACAAAATGTACACCTTTGACCAGTCCTATGAATCCTATCTGTTCCTCTGTAAGCTCACATTTTGTATCAAGTTCAAGAGACTTATGATGATATATCCTGTTAAGACTCAAAAGTAAATTCCCAGAGCTGTTCATGCCTCACGGTAAAGGTATTCAGATGGGTCAGTTGTGGTTGCTATATGTTTCGGCAAGTACCTTTCAATGGCAACTAACGAAATGTCAATGCCTTGTTTGATAAGGTTTGAACCATAGAGTGAAAGGGCACTGGGAATGCTAACCTTCTAATTTATTAACTCTTTCTCTTCGTTCAATACCATTCAGAGATGTGAATGTTTCAGAGACTACAAGCCTAATATTTAAAGTAAGCACATGCTAAAATCTCTTGTAAGCATCAATATAAGTCCGTCTGACACATGCCTTCATGTTTGAATCTTCATTTACATCCCAAAAGAAAAATTCACAATAAGCTCTTTCTATAATAGATAATATTATTTAGTGTGGTCTTTTTGTAACAATGCATAAACTGAATTGTTTCTGATTGGTCCTTCAATATAAAGAAAGTTCAACAGTTGAAGGCAATAATCGAATAAATAGCAGCCAGATGAAAAGGTCTAAATCACAAAGTAAGGAAAAACAATCATCTCGTCAGATTCATAACCGTTATCCTCATAACATCATTTTAACTTCGTAGTCCAATTACTCCTATGAAGTGAAACCAAAAGGGGATGGGCTCACGAGGAAGATTTTCCTCTAAAACCCTTTCCAAAATTAGGTACCACGTTGAATTTGAAAATGAGATTTACTAGGGATAAAAATAAAAAGCTCCGTCCAGCCATCGCAGTTCTAAACAGCCTAGAAGTTATTGAAATCTATCCCCCTAAAAGATTTCTGACACGTTTTTCAATTTCCTCGACTCTATGCCAACAAAAAGTTACACTACAACCGTTTAAGAACCTCTTAGCATAAATGCCTACACCTCGCCCTTTCACTTCAAGATGCAAGTCTAAAAATCAAATGGAACTGATGATGACTGATAGAGAGCACTATAATTAAATGAACCAAGGGGCAGCAACTGAAAATTTTCCCACTTACCATGTTCATAACAAGGAAGGAGAGTAGCATCACCCACAAGCAGGTGACAGAGCATAGCTCACACCCAAGTATTCAGCTTACCACTCATTTGACTACAACGATTGAACTATTTACTTCATTTAGTGCATTTTAAAGTAAAACACCATAAAATGTAATGGGTTGAAGAGTAAATAATTTATCGTGAATTTCCTATTGATTTAAAGTAAAATTATTACAGCCAATTTGTATTGATTATGCTTCTGCAACAAGTTTAATTCTTCTATAGCTAAACCAGCCAAAATAATGGGTTGACAGGGTAACCAGTTTTATTTTATTAAGAAAAAAGAAGGTTTATAGAGCCCAATCCATCCAAAATTTAACAGGAGTAGTTAGTTTTGTTTTATATGTTCAAGAAAAGGTTTATAGAGCTCTTACCGTACAGATGTAGGGCCAAGCTGTCTCCCTGGACATAGTCTGCCAAAAGAAGCCTCTCTTGTTCCCTGGGCCCCCAGTAGTATGCTCGTAATGGAACAATGTTATCATGCCTTATACAGCCAATTCTTTTAACTTCCTTGGCAAACTCTTTCTTGTGTTTGACAAGTCCCACTCGTAACCACTTCACAGTCAACATATGTCCACTATCTAGAGTAGCTTTGTAAAGAGTTCCGTGGCTGCTTCTGCCTAGAACTTCTGCAGGAGCTCGAGATAATTGTTCAGCAGTAAACTGCAAAGAAGAATCCAGGAAAAACAGTTCACCAGCCAACCGATCTGGTGAGTATACATCCAATATCACAGGTTGTTCACGTGTCTCCATAAAACGAGGTGAAGGAGAGAGAGGAGAACCAGGGGAGGACTTCCTTCCTGATGTTGTAGGATAATTATCTAGAAGATTTGTAGGTGCAGAACTAGTTGCTGTTTGCCCATGTAAAGCATGCTCACCAATTTCAGTTACAAATTCCGTCTGCCCTGATAATGACTTTGATTGTGAAGTAAGCAAGTGATCATTGGAAAAACTCAATGCACTTGGTGGAGGCTGAACATTTGTATGAAAATTGAAAAGTGAAGGCCGTGTAAATCTTCCTATCTTAACATCTCTCCCTGTATCTTGGCCACCAAACCCACTTCTTCCGCTAAATTCTTTGATATGTGTTTGGTGATAAGCCAAAAAAGCAAAGATTATCATCAAGGCAACTCCAACTGAAGCAACAATGATTGCTACTCTGATATGACCTTTTGAACTATGATTTTTCCCTTGATCCGAAATATGACCCGGAACTGAAGTTGTTGCCTGACCATTCTCTTGTAAGTTTAGCATGTCATTTCCAGGACGAAATGAACTTGTAGGGAAGTGTTTTAAATTTTGGGGAACAGAACCTGATAGATCATTATTGGAAACATTAAATACACTTAGGCTGGATGGAAGCTTCTCAGGAATTCCACCTTCGAATTTGTTGTCTGATAAATCAAGGTACTCCAATTTACTAAGTTTGCTCAGTTCACTCGGCAGCTCTCCTGAAAAGCCATTCTTTGCAAGGTTTAGCAATTTGAGTTCCACCATGTTACCTAAGTCTCGAGGCAGGCTGCCAGATAAAGTATTACTGGAGAGATCAAGACTCTCAATCGGCAAATTTGGAGGTAGAGATAACAATTCCTTTACATGTGCGCCTTCAAGAGGAATTGACCCAATTAAATGATTCCCTGAAAGATTCAGTCTCTTTAGGGTCGTTGAAGAGAGGAAACTTCCAGGAATGGACCCACTGAAATCATTTAGGCTCAAGTCAACTGTCGAGAGTCTAGGACAGGCCTTCAAGATTGAAGGTAAAGGACCAACTAATAAATTATCTCTGAGACTAAGCGTACTTAATTTCTCAAACTGTGATGTCAAGTATGGAAAGCTTCCATAAAACTTATTTGAACTCAAATCAAGCAATTCTAAAGCAGCCCCCAAATCCTGCACAATGGATATGTCACCTGAGATCTTATTTCCACTGAGATCCACCACTACACAACTCCTCATATCCACGTTCTGCAATGTGCCAGACAAACCATTTGACGAAAGATTCAAGACTTTCAAAGTTGTAGAGTTAATTCCATGAATGGAACCTGTACACATAAATGGTGATAAATCAGAGTGCAATGTTAAATTCCAAAGGTTTCCGATTTCTTTGAAAACATGCAAATATTGACAACAATAAACAGTCGAAATATACAGGATTGAAAACGGTGAGGCCATGGTTAGCAAAATGAGTGGTGGAAAAGGTATACTTCAGATCTCTACTACCTTTAATGCATATGATGTTTTAGTGCTCATGAAAAACGTGAAAAAATTTACAGTTTGATGATTGAACTCAATAGATAGCACGATACGACAAGATGGTGAATGAAGTTCAAGTCCATACCTGTGAAAGCATTGCCACTAAGATCCAATTCCTCCACTGCCATGGAACTCTCAAACAACTCCTCCGGTATTTCCCCAAACAACTGATTACTCCCGAGCCTCAAGACCCGCAAATTCGGTAACAACCCAAATGAAGGGAGCTTCCCTGTGATATGGTTACCACCTAAATCCAAAACTTGCAAGTTCCTAAACAACCCAATTGAATCAGACTTAAAAAACCCACCAGCAAGCTTATTGTAGCTCAAGTTCAAGTACCGCACTGTGTTGGATAAGCTCGAAACATTCTCCGAAGCAAGCGAAAGCCCTCCGAAAAACTCGTTCCTGCTCAAGTCAACGTATTCCACATTGTGCAATCGCGAGAACAAATCAGCAATGTCGCCCCACAGCTGATTGGAATGCAAATCCAACACTTTGAGCTGATTGAGATTCCACAACCGATCCGGAAACCCGCCTTTGAAGTGATTGGCAGACAGGTTGAGATAATTCAAGTCCCACAAGTCGTATATCCGAGCCGGGATCGGGCCGTAGAAGCGGTTCCCAGACAGATCCAGGTGCTGGAGAGATGACATTGTGCCGAGAATCGGCGGGACCCGACCCGTGAAGTCGTTGTTAGAAAGGGTGAGGTTTTGCAATGCAGTGAGTCCAGTGAGAGTGTTGAACTTGAGCTCGCCGCCGAGGGCAAGATGGTCGAGAGCTAAGGCAACGACATTGCCGGTGGTGTCGCAGAAAACGCCGGTCCAGGGAGGACAAGAGTGAGTGTTGGAGAGAGAGCTGAGGGTCCATGAGTCAAGGACTTTCCGGAGCGGGTCGGTTTGGATCCCTTTCTTGAATTCGTAAAGGGATCGGAGCTCCGAGTCGGAGGCGGAGGAAGCGGAGAGGATTACAAGGAAGAAGAAGTAGAGAGAGAGAGTGAGATTGTTCATTGTACCCAGAAAAACCCTAATCATTCATTTGACAAAGCTTAAGACTTGAAGACTGGGGGGGAGAGAGAGAGAGAGAGAGAGAGAGAGAGAGAGAGAAATGGAGGAGATTTCAAAACCCTAGATTGAGATTTGTGAGGAAAATTAAGACAGGAGGAGAAAGAGAAGGGTGTACTGCGTGGGGTTTTTTTTTTTTAATTATTTGGTTTTCTAGGGTTGAGAGGAAAATTCCGTTAAACATGGCGGTTTGGCAGGTGGAGAGTGGTGGTTGGTGAGGGTGAGTAACTACAGTCTGTAAAGGGAGAACAAGGCTACATAGGGTCATAAGGACTAAAACATCCTTCAGTAATAAAGAGTGAGCAGACCCATATGCCCCTGCTCACCTCACATGCTTTTTCCACGCCGTTAGCCAGACGACAACCATAAAACACTCCAGGCGTGAGTTGTGTTACATGTGTGTGCTTAACTTTTTGTGGTTAGCCCATGGGTATTTCGACCAAGAAAATTATGCAGACCTATTTATTTGTAATTCAGGGATTTTAGATTCGACTCTTATAAATACAGAGTTTAAAGTCTCAAAATATATATGGGGCTTGGAAGGAGGACTTAAAATAGTGCCGCTAAATTTTCAAGGCGAAAACGATAGTTGCCAATTCAAGATCATGAGTAAGATAGTTCATTTCATGGGGCTTTAACTGTCGCAGCATACACAATAACCTTTCCATGCTGCATCAGCACGCAGCGTAGGCCATTCAGAAAGGCGTCACTGTAGATCTCGAAATTCCCACTATCATCGAGAAGTGCCAAAACAGGCACAAGAGTGAGACAATACTTCAACTGTTGGAAACTCCGTTCACAATCATCACTCCATTCAAGCTTAACTCATTTCCTGGTCAACCTTGTCAGAGGCAGGGCTATGGTTGAGAAGTCTTTCACGAAGTGTCTATAAGACCAAGAAAACTCTGAACTTCTATGACAGTCCGAGGTTGCTCCAAATTTTCCACTGCTGCGACTTTATGAGGATCCACGAGAACACCTTGTGTTGATATCACGTGTCCCAAGAAAGCCACATGATCCAGCCAGAGCTAGCACTAACTGAACTTAGTGTACAGTTGATTCTCCCTTAGCTTCTTCAAAACCAAACGTAGATGTCTAGCATGGTCAACCTCGCTCTTAGAATACACCAGGATATCATCGATGAAGACAATTATGAACCTATCAAGGTACTGACGGAATACCTGATTCATTAGGTCCGTAAAAGCTGCCGGAGCATTAGTTAACCAGAATGACATCACAAGAAACTCAGAACGACCATATCGAGTTCGGAATGTTGTTTTCAAAACATCATCACTTCTAATCTTCAATTGATAATAACCGAACCCTAGATCGATTTTCAAGAAAACACAAGCACCACGAAGTTGATCGAAAGAATCATTGATACAAGGCAACAAATAACGATTTTTAATCGTCACCCGATTCAGTTGTCTGTAATCGATACGTAGCCTCAAAGTTCCGTCTTTCTTCCTCACAAACAAGACTAGAGCTCCCCAAGGGGGAAGTGCTCGGCTGAATAAACCATTTTTCAATAAGTTCTTGTAACTGGGTTTTTAATTCCCTTAACTTTGCATGAGTCATATGATAAAGAGTTAGAGAAATAAGATCGGTACCTAGAATTAGGTCGATGGTGAACTCCACTTCACGATCCGGTGGTAGGCCAGGGAAATTGTTGGGAAAAACATCAGGAAAGTGTATGACTACCCGAACATCTTCCACGTGAGTATGATTATCTTTAGTCGCCACTACATTAGATAAGTAGCCTTAACAACCCTTCCTCAACAACCGCTTCGCCCTTATGGCTGAGATAACTCCATGTGTCAGACTGCTACGTTCATCGACAAAAGTTACCATAGGCATGCCCGGTCGATGGAAGGTAACGATCTTCTAGTGACAATTCAACATTGCACGATTGTAATCCAACCAATCCATGCCCAAGATAACATTGAAATTAACGATGTCTAAGGGTACAAGATTAGTTGGCATTATGACATCCTCGATGAGAACGGGATATCCTCGATACTCCCAACTAACATAGCAAATTTCACCCCTAGGGATTTAGAACTCCAACTCATAACTGAGGAGAGTGGGGTGAGGTTGAGTCTTTTAAGCAAACATATGGAAGATAACCAAATGAGTAGGACCAGACTCAATTAATATTCTAGCAAAATGACCAAGAACATTCAACGTACCCATAATCAAGTCGGGTTACCCTGAGCATCCTGCAAGGTGATGTGATTGACTCGACCCTATGCCTATTGTCGACCTTCTCGACCCCTGTTTCCCTAATTGTCGCGTCCCTGGTTACCTTGACCTTGATTTGTTAGATTAGGCTACCTGGTCGATGCACTGCTGCTAGAAGCTACCTCAAGATTTTGGGACTGACCCCCGACATACCACTGCGATCCGCCACCCTGATATGGCGTATGTGGCGTATAGCCCCCCTGGTACTAGGCCTGGCAAACGGGTCGTGTCTATCGTGTTCGTGTCGTTTTCGTGTAACACCTGTTATCTTAACGGGTCGTGTCGTGTCACACCCGTTATCTTAACGGGTCCTTAACAGGTCGTGTCACTTTACCCAACAGGTAAAGTGACCCGACCCGTTATGACCCGTTATGACCCGTTAAGAAAAAAATATATTTTTTTTAAATTTGCACATATCACACATTGCCACGTAAATATTACTTCAAAACATTAAAACATTTCTCGTTCAAGTACTATATCTACACTCAAAAATAAAAGCCTAATAAAAAAATAATACATACACTACTAATCTATTACAAATATTAAATGTGCAAGGATAAAGAGTTTTTGTTTTTAAGATTGTAAGTCTTTCTCAAAAGTTTACACCTTCATTTACAAAATCTTCAATTTACATCGATCATCATGAAATTGTATTAGAACTTTGGCTTGATTTATTGCCTTCAAGACTAATGTTGAAGATGTTTTCAGTAAGGTTTTCCACGTCAGAACTCTCTTCCGCATAAACAAAGTATAGAAAAACCAAACATTAAAAATCATTCAAATTATGAAAAGTTAAACAAAATAATTATAAAAAGAAATAAAAGAATAATACTATACCATATAATAATACTTTTTAGGGATATAAAATTATTAAATTAATGTATATAATTATTAATACTATAGTTGATTCATACTTTTATTAAGTATATAAATTATAACATAAGATTTTGTGATATCCACATCCACTAGTGTAAATATTTTAAATTGAAGATTGAATTCATTCATTGTATTCATATAGGGTCAAGGAGTGTAGTTATAAAAAATCATCAAAATCGGAGTTAAAATAACCGTTAAATCGTGATTTTTCGTTTATAACCGTTGAAAAGCTTTGTCCCGTTACTTGATCTCTAAATGTTTTTTTTTTGTGATTTTTTGCGATGTGATCTCCAAGCATATACAAACAATTTTGACGGTTTGGATCGTTGAAATTAGTTTTGGAGAATTCGTAAAACGATAGATTGACTAACACTTAGAGTTTATTTATAATTTCATTAAGTATAACATAAGATTTTGTGGTATCCACTTGTGTAAGTATTTTAAATTGAAGATCGAATTCATTCATTGTATTCATATAGGGTCAAGGAGTGTAGTTATAAAAAATCATCAAAATCGGAGTTAAAATAACCGTTAAATCGTGATTTTTCGTTTATAACCGTTGAAAAGCTTTATCCCGTTACTTGATCTCTGAACGTTTTTTTTTTGTGATTTTTTGCTGATGTGATCTCCAAGCATATACAAACAATTTTGACAGTTTGGATCGTTGAAATTAGTTTTGGAGAATTCGTAAAACGATAGATTGACTAACACTTAGAGTTTATTTATAATTTCATTAAGTATAACATAAGATTTTGTGGTATCCACTTGTGTAAATATTTTAAATTGAAGATCGAATTCATTCATTGTATTCATATAGGGTCAAGGAGTGTAGTTATAAAAAATCATCAAAATCGGAGTTAAAATAACCGTTAAATCGTGATTTTTCGTTTATAACCGTTGAAAAGCTTTGTCCCGTTACTTGATCTCTGAATGTTTTTTTTTTTGTGATTTTTTGCTGATGTGATCTCCAAGCATATACAAACAATTTTGACGGTTTGGATCGTTGAAATTAGTTTTGGAGAATTCGTAAAACGATAGATTGACTAACACTTAGAGTTTATTTATAATTTCATTAAGTATAACATAAGATTTTGTGGTATCCACTTGTGTAAATATTTTAAATTGAAGATCGAATTCATTCATTGTATTCATATAGGGTCAATGAGTGTAGTTATAAAAAATCATCAAAATCGGAGTTAAAATAACCGTTAAATCGTGATTTTTCGTTTATAACCGTTGAAAAGCTTTGTCCCGTTACTTGATCTCTGAACGTTTTTTTTTTGTGATTTTTTGCTGATGTGATCTCCAAGCATATACAAACAATTTTGACGTTTGGATCGTTGAAATTAGTTTTGGAGAATTCGTAAAACGATAGATTGACTAACACTTAGAGTTTATTTATAATTTCATTAAGTATAACATAAGATTTTGTGGTATCCACTTGTGTAAATATTTTAAATTGAAGATCGAATTCATTCATTGTATTCATATAGGGTCAAGGAGTGTAGTTATAAAAAATCATCAAAATCGGAGTTAAAATAACCGTTAAATCGTGATTTTTCGTTTATAACCGTTGAAAAGCTTTGTCCCGTTACTTGATCTCTGAATGTTTTTCTTTTGTGATTTTTTGCTGATGTGATCTCCAAGCATATACAAACAATTTTGACGGTTTGGATCGTTGAAATTAGTTTTGGAGAATTCGTAAAACGATAGATTGACTAATTCCCTCACTTTTCGTAAAACGATAGTTAATAACTTAAAAAAAAAAAATAAAAATTCTCACCACTTCTATTAATTTTCATTTTTCCCTCTCTTTTTTGTTACCTTTTCAACTTTTTCTTATCATTTTCACTTTTCCCTCCAACATCTTTCCCTAATTCCCTCACTTTTTTGTTTTATTTTCAACTTTTCTTAACATTTTCATTTTCCCTCCATTTTTTTTTTTCAAAAAGGGCGGCAAGTTGGCAAATGGCAATGGCAAAAAATTGATTATTGAAATTTGAATGGAAACAAATCACATCTGAGGCATCAAATTTCAATGGATGCAAAATCATGCAAATATGCAATGCATGATCATGCATATTAAATTATTAATTAATAATTATTATAGTTTTTATAAAATTTAATATATATATATATAATTATTATAGATAGACTTAATATTTT